GACTGAACAAAGGAGAGAAGCAGCGGGAGGAGTTTGAAGTTTAGTTTCGGTTTGGGCTGGGTGGTGCAACGCAGGGAACCCCAAGCTGGGGTCTAAGCTCCCTGAACCTCCCAGAGGGACCTAATTGAGGGGGTCTGGTCGTACCTACACGCTCTGCTTGAGACTGTGTTCCTGTCCTTAAATAAACCTTCTGCTTTACTGGCTGGTTGAGAGTCGCAGTGAATCTCGGGAAGAGGGGTGCAGGGCCCTAACTCCCCCACAATCCGCAACAGCGCAGCAGCCTAGGCGCCGGTCTTCTAGTACCCCCCCGGCATTCCCAGGCTTCCCGCGCCACCCTCCCACCAGGGTACCGAGGGCTGGGTGGCACCTCGCTACCACCTGCCCTTAGCGTGAGGGAGCCTCGTCTGTGCCTGGCAGGGGCCAGCTCCCCGACTGCGCCAGCCCTCCCTTCCCAGCCTACACAGGCTGCGCTGTCCCTCTGCCCCCAAGGCCTGTGAGCCCCACACACCCCACGCGTGTCCAGCACCCGACCCTTGCAGCGTCCCACAGTACAGGACACACACACACACACACACACCACCCCGAGCAGCTTCGCCGCCGGGTCACCGCGCTGCTTCACCCTCACCACTTCCCTGGGGGGACTGTGACAAGGGGCCGTTCTTTACCCACGAGCAGTGAGTCCCATGTCAGCAAGTCGCCATATGGGAACATGGTTACATGTACAGCAAAACCATAGTAGGACTTGGTGCACCCCCACACCTGGCTCCCTGCGCTTACCCTGCGTGATGGCCAGGGGGTGGCGCTGCCGCTCCTGAGACACCAGGTTAATTCTTTGAGCCGCATCCTTGCTAGGTTTGCCTTGTGTCGATTTCTGTGAGCGCTTGTCAGCTTTGCAGGCTTGAGCCGCAGCAGCCCCATATGCAAATATCCGTCCCGTGTAAGACACGCAATACACCGTGGTCAGCATCTCCTCCCCTGCCTGACCAGAGCCCGGGTAGTGTGACGGGTGCGTGGCGTACCGCATACAGCATACGAACACCTGTCTCAGGCTCACGCTGTCATGCCAACCTCACAGCTCTACGCACGGCACAGGGACCTCTGGGTGTTCCCGGCTGTTGCGGGAGGCCTCACATGCTGTGCTTTGGCACACTAGTCTATAGACTCAGCCCCTGGGGAGTCCAGTAAACCCTCTGCACCCTGCTGCCCAGGGGCTCTCTGGGGCCCGGCCCACTGGTGTCCTGCTGCCTGTGGTTTCAGTGCTTGGCAGACGAAGAGACTCTGGTGAACATGCAGACGGAGTTTGCCTCCTACACAGCCACTCACAGTCACGCCAACGCCAGCTACGAGAGCCAAGCCGCCATGGCAGAGAAACTCCAGCAGGTAGGACCAGCCCCCCCCATACTGCTGTCGGCAGGGAGTGCCGGGCGGCACTGAGCGGCCAGCGCCTGCCCTGCCCCAGCGCCCTGCGACTGCTCTAGGGCCAGCCAGGCCTGGCAGCTGGCTGGCTGCCCACGGCAGTGACTGAGCTGTGCTGCTGCGTTGCGTCTAGCAGCTGAGCCACGCCGACGAGGAACGCGCCAAGCACAGCCAGCGGGCCGAGGAGTACCAGTGCCTGGTGCAGGACTTGAAGCTGGAGCTGGTGCGAGTGGCTGAGCAGAAGAACAGCGCCATGAAAGGTAGAGCAAGAGGCGGCCGCTCCTCCTGCCAGCCGGGCCCCTGGGGGAAAGCCGCTGCCCCAGCCACGTCAGCGCTGCCCATCAGCGTGAGACTCAGCGCCACGGGCCTGCCCCGGGGAGCTGCTCAGGCCGTGGGCTACGCACCAGGCGTCTGCGCCAGCTGCGACCACGAGGAGCCCTGGTGGGGGGCGGGGGGGCGGGGGCTAGGCCTGCTTTGCCTTCCTTGCTGAGCCTGTGGGGAGCCCGGAGTCCTGGCTGCCGGGCAAGGATCGTACCATCAGCCTGGGCGGAGCTGCAGCCAGGTGCTGGCCTGGGGCACACAGTGCGGGCGTCTGTGCCCAGCCCCGTGTCGCGCTGCACACAGGGTGCAGCTAGGCTGGAGCCGGCTCCTGCTGGCAGTGTGGCCGTGACGGTGGGGGGCTAGCGGCCTGAGCACCCCGGCTGCACTGCAGTTACTGGCGTGTGTGCAGAGCTGCGAGTCACAGCTCCGGCGGAGACGCCCGACAGCCGCCAGCGGCTCAGGGCGTCGGCAGGAGGCAGGAGCTGGCACTAGCCTGGCGCTGCTTTTTCAGCTCTCGGGAAGCTGGAGCTGGAGGTGCAGAGCCTGAGGCAGGACACAGCTGCTGAGGGGGAGCGGAAGCAGCTGGAGGTGGCCAAGCTGCAGCAGCTGATCCAGCCCCTGGAGTTCAAGCTACAGGAGAGCCGCCGGCTGTGTGCGCAGAAGGAGCAGGTGAGCCCAGGAGACGGGGACCCAGAGGAGGGACAAGCCAGGGGCCCTGGGCCAACAAGCCTTCGCAGCAGGAGCAGCTCCAGCCTCCCCGCAGGTCGCAGGCAGCTGCGGCAGCACCTGTGGGGCCCTGGGGAGGGGGCTGGGCCGGGGGGCAGGGTCCAGCCTGCGGGTGGCGTGGCCCCGGGGCAGTGTCTGGCAGTGCTGCGGTCTCTCTTGGCACAGCTCCTGCAGAGGAGGGATGAACAGCTCCGCCAGGCGCAGGCCGCCGTGCGGCAGGCGCGCAGTGCCCTGCAGGAGAGGGGGCTGGAGGTGGAGAAGCAGCGCGCAGAGGCCAGGAGCCTGGACGTGCGCCTGCAGCAGGCCCAGCGGGAGAGGGAGCAGAGCCAGGCGGCCAGCGACCGCCTGCAGGAGGAGATCCAACGGCTGAGACAGCGCCTGCAGGACAGCCAGCAGCAGCAGCAGGTGGCTGGTGAGAGAGGCAGTCGCACCCTCGGCCCCACCGGCTCCAGGCTCGCGTGGCTCGGGGAAGGCGGGCGAGACACGGTGCCTGCCTGGGACATCCCCCAGACGAGACCCCCCCCCCCGAGTCCTGGCAGGTGCCAGTCCCTGCGCCACAGGCCCGGGCTGTTCCCGCTTGGAATCTGCCAGCTGCAGGGTGGGGGAGCCCGCGTACCGCCCCCCCCCCCCCCCCCCCCCGAGTGAGCCCCCATACAGGGATCGCTGACCCTGGTGGATGGCAGACGGCGGAGCCTGCCCGTGCCAGCATCTCAGAGCCCAGACACCCAGGTGATGGGCTCCAGCTGCCCATGAGGCGCAGGCCTCAGCTCGGGTCTGTGT